TTCGGTCACAGCTGCCCCGCCGGGTTCTCGGTGTAATGACAGATGGGCGTCCCTAGTTATCTGGTAACCAGGGACGCCCATCTGTAATTACGACGAGAGCTTAGGAGAGCCAGCAGTCATATGAAAGCCGACTTTGCTAAGCTCTCATCCTAATGACAGAACAGCGTCTGCTGGTTACTGTGTAACCAGCAGACGCTGTTCTGTCATTAGGATGAGAGTTTAGCAGACAAGCTCTAATTCTAATAACAGCTGGTCCCGGCCAATAGAGAACAGTTGGGCGGAGCTATCTGTTACTGCTAGCTCCGCCCAATCATTTTCTGTTTTCTTTTCTACTTTTTTTTACTGTTTTTCTATTCTGCTCGGTACAACAGAGGTAACGAGCAGAATAGCCGAGCCGAATGCCACTCAGCGGCATTCGGCATTTTAGAGAAGCATTCAACAATAAATGATGTATGTGTGCTAGTGTTTTAAATACTTTTTATGTATAATACCTTATAATTATCTATGTACCTTAGGGCAGCCATATTTCTGTTAACATGTGTAGGTGCTGGTTTCTGCTTTGCAGGGCTACAAAAGGGTTTATTTTTTACTGCTTCTTCTCACTAATGACCAGCTGTCATTAGAATTAGAGCTTGTCGGAGCCGGCGGGGATATGAAAGCCGACTCTGCTAAACTCTCATCCTAATGACAGAACTTTGTAACCAGCAGACGCTGTTCTGTCATTAGGATGAGAGCTTAGCAAAGTCGGCTTTCATATCACTGCTGGCTCTCCTAAGCTCTCGTCGTAATGACAGATGGGCGTCCCTGGTTACCAGATAACCAGGGTTGCCCATCTGTCATTACATCGAGAACCCGGCGGGGCCGCTGTGACATCACAGCGGCTCCGCCGGGTTCTCAGTGTAATGACAGATGGGCGACCCTGGTTACCAGGTAACCAGTGACGCCCATCTGTCATTACACACTGAGAACCCGTCAGAGCCGCTGTGATGTTACAGAGGCTCCGCCGGGTTCTCAGTGTACTGAGGAGCCGCAGTGTAATGACAGAAGGCGTCCCTAATTACCAGGTAACCAGGGACGCCTTCTGCCATTACACACAGAACCCAGCGGAGCTGCTGTGATTTTACAGTGGCTCTAACGGGTTCTCAGTGTAATGATAGAATGGTGTCCCTGGTTAACTGGTAACCATGGACGCTGATCTCTCTGCAAGTGGCCGGAGCCAGCCGTGAGATGACGGCTGGCTCCGCCCAGCTGTCAGATGACGGTTGGCTCCGCCCAGCTGTCAGATGACGGCTGGATCCACCCAGCTGTCAGATGATGGCTTTCTCCGCCCAGCTGTCAGAAGCAGGCTGTCGGTTGGCCAAGGGCCAGCCAATCGGCCAGCTTCGAATTTCCCCTGGGCTCAGTCGACTGAGCCCCTCGGCCCTCGTACAGCAGCCCTGAACCGAAGGGGTCCTGGGGCCGAAGCTACCCGAAGGATCAGCCGAAGCTACGGCTAGATCCTTCGGTAGCTTTGTGAATAGACCCCTTAGAAAAGTTTATACATTATTTGTAATTGGAAAACAACTCCAGGAAGTACATGCAATAATCCAGTGAACTGTTATTTAGTGAACTTTGTATCTGTGCTAAAAGCAGAAAGCCCACTTATTTTCTTGTTTTCTATGTCCACTACAATTTGTCTCATGCAACACAGCTATGTAATGTTCAGAATCCCATTTGAAAAAATACGCGGGGGCAGGGCCGGATTTACGTCACCTAAGGATAAGGGGACCACAGGGAAGAAAATCAAAGGTTTTCAGAAGGCAGGATGACTTACATGCATTGAGTCCTGGGTAAGGAAAACTATAATAGATTTTGGACAATTGCATTTTATCGTTTGAAATTGTATACATTTATAAACTGATGTATCATATATATTTGTACTTTTTGATCAACTCATTCTTATATATTATCAATATTTAAAAAAAAAAAAAGATATCATGTAGGGCGCTTCTTTACTGAGCATTCTGAAATACTTTATTGCCTTAATTGCAAATATATGCATGTAATAAAATACAAGAAGCGGTTCTCTGGGACATTCAGCTGTGTGTTTGTGTATAATTTGCCCCCACAGTTCATGTCAGTGTACAAGTTAAGTTAATGACACTATAGCAATAAAGCCAGTCTGATACAAGATTATACAAAAACTCTCTTTTTCCGTTAAAGAACTCCAGGAAAACTTTTTTCTTAACCCTCACTACAAGGGGGGGTTAACTACTTAAGTGCTTGTTTTTGTCTAGGCTCAAAAATAACAAAGTTATACTCTCCCGAAGCTCCGAACCGGCCAGTTGTCACAGAGCTCCCCCCTGCCTGTTTCCTTCTACTCTGCAGCATTGGAATGTTTCTCAGCATCCTCACATCTATACACTGTGTATAGAATGTGATGATTTATGGGACCTTAGACCACTGCAGAAGTGGGGGAGAGAGGCTCTAGGGACTGGTCTAAGAACAAGCCAGCTTAGAGCATCGGGGTAAGTATAACATTTTTTTTTAACCTAGACAAAAATAAAGTTAACCCTTGCAGTGCTTAGGTAGCCCCACTGCAAGGATTATTTAACATTTTTGGAAATCTTCTTTAATTAAAAAATATTCCTATATGATTGGAATGCCACTAATGGATTTCTCCACCTTACTGTGGTTTAAAGTAATGGTGTTTACCTCAAATGCTCAAGGCCCCATACTAGTGCATGTTTTTCATTTGTTTTATTGATGAGTTGATTCGTTTTTTTCACACAGTTCACTATTTGCATTAAGATCCACAACGCACAGTATTTGGCTCACATTGTGCTGACATTCACAAATAACACACAATCTGCTTGGTATGATGTCTACAGCCAAACCCATAAAAATTATCTTCAGTGAGTCCTGGAAGTGATGGTTTGGCCCCGCAGAGCCCTGATCTCAGCATCATTGAGTTTGTCTGGGATTACATGAAGAGACAGCCTAAAGCCACAGAAGATCTGTGCTTAGTTCTACTAGATAATTGGAACTACTTAATTGGCCCTGAAAAAGGTCATAAAGAATAGCAAGATTCTGTTCCCATAGACTTCAGAGGGGTTCTGGTGCTATATTTGGGGTTTGCGGACTTCCTGCTGGGTTTGGCAAACGTCTACCCAACCAATTTTTTCACATCTCACTTGGTGATGTGAATCTGCATTTGCTTCAAACATCCAATTATGTTTTAGAAACATACCTTATTAAAATAAGCTTGCATCTGTTTTATGTAAATGTGTGATGTATCGTGTGTCTCAGCATCAGATACCACTTGAACTGGTTATTGCCATCTTTATTATTTCGCCATAGGTATATTATCAAGATATAATTTATTTAAAATTACAAAAATGTTTACATTAAGAAGAAAATACATTTTCAGTCATGAGATTGTTTTGTGCTAACAATGAAAATACTGTTGATCGGCTACTGATAACCTCAAATTTAGTAAACAGGCTGTATTCACTTTTACATAATTATGAAATACTACTGTAATACAGAACATTCAATAATTAAAGGAGAACTATTGGGTTAAGGCTTTTCCCCAAAGTTCTCCTTAGGGTAACGGGAGGACACAAACTAGCGTCCTCCCGTCACCCTAGACTGTAGCTCGCGGTATACTGAGACACCGCAGCTGAAGCGGATCCCGACAATTATACATAGGCTCAGAACAAGTCAGAACACAAAATCTATAATGATATAGCCCTAAACAGGCTAGATTTTTTAAAGTGCAAGTAAACTGTTGTGTAAATGTCTGTTATTGGTTTACAAGGGCAGTATACCAGTGATTGATCACAATCCTTCTGATCATTTAGCTGGTAAAGCAGCCATAATACAATTCCCTGTCGCCATGTTGCAGATCAGAACTGTGATAGCCTCTCTACAGCAGACATCAAAATTACAAAATTTCCATAGAAACTAAATAGTCATCTGCATTTATTCTGTAAACTACAATAGAAAAAATTCGCTGGGATAAAACCGGTTGCTATGGACACTACCTCAACACTGTCTGACAGTCCAGTGATTTCAGGCAATTTTTTTTTTTTGCCAATTTTTATTTTTTTTATTTTTTATTGGTTGGCTAGTGGATTGTTTAGCTGCTGGCAAAACATACCAGGCAGACCAGAGTGCTTTCTACTCTCTGTCCAGTTCTGATGATGCTCACAGTATATTGGAAACAGTGGGGTTGCTTTATTAAAGGCAAATAGGCTGTTCACTTTGCAAGGGAATTTTACCTTAGCTTAGTGAATGTGGTGAAAATTCCCTTTGCAAAAAATACGCAATCACGTGGAAGGAAAAAAAAAACATGTTTGCTAGCAGGTGATTGGATTATGGAAGTCAGCAGAGCTTCACCTCATTCACTAAGCTGAAGGAAAATCAACTTACAAGGTAAACAGCATATGTGCCTTTTGGAAATCAACCCTTAATGAGTTGACCAATTGGTCTTAAAAAATTGTCTCCAGAGGTAGGGAAGCACAAGACACAAACTGTGTCTTGGTCCAAAGACTTTCTTATGGCATTTAGCAATATTATGAAACAGTAATAGGGATATTCACAAAAGGGTGAAGAGTTTGGAGAAGGCAGGAGAAGTGAACAATCTAGGACAAAATAGCTGATTTTGAAACATTCTCCAATTTAGCTCACTTTCCAGTTCAGCTATGTTGTCCTAGATTGTTCACTTCTCCTGCCTTCTCCAAACTCTTCACCCTTTTGTGAATAACCCTGTAACTGTTCTGGGACAAGTAAAGCTGTGGGTCCATTATGATATGATGGATTACATATATTTAAACAAACCACAGAATAATTTCTAATACAGTCTTACATTCATGTCCTTAGGTTCACATAGACTTTATAAATTTAACTTTTAAATTTTTGCTTTTCATAGTTCATATGGAAATCTTTCAAAAGTATGCACAGTATCTCTTACGCTTTACTGCGTGACAACTGCCCCACTAAAATGTAATGTATGCTGGTCTGCAATTGTATGAGTAATTTCTTTTAAGAGTAAAAGAATATTACAGCAAAAACCACCAATATCCCCAGAAGAAACAACTGTATAGGAGAAATGCCTGAGCTTTGTTCTACATAGCGAGTTCTCGTTGGCTTCAGTGTTCGATCCCATTGACTTAGGATGGTTTTTCTAGCTTTGTCCCACTTTCCAGGTCCAGCTATTCTATATTGATATGGTGTGCAGGGTCCAAAAAAGACGTGCCAAGCAAGTTTGGGATCAGTACGAAGAAGCTCCCACAAATCAGGCTTCACACCAAGTGATTCCGCTAATTCATCCATGTATTCTATGTAGTCCACCTGTATGGTATGGCGCTGACTGAACACATAGCTGGACATGAAATAAAAAATCATTATTATTAATTATATATTCCTTTAATTTTAGCTGCATTTATTGACACAATCGAAAATGTAGTAAACCGGAATACAATTTTTACAATATAGGAAAGGGCTTTTCCATTCACCATCTGAATTGTAAAGATATATTCCCACTCACCCTACCTGTATTTTTTTAAAGTGTAACTTCAACCAAAAATGGGAATTTTGGATAGAGTAGGGAAGAGTTAGCTCTTCCTTCAGCTTGGTATTGCAGTGGTGGTCACAGTTAGGGAGATTACCCCCTCACTTTCTGTGCAGGTGACAACTGAAGCACAGGGAATTCCACTTACTATCTGTCCCAACTTTGGGGTTGAGGAAGTGATAGGGAATTTTTGCAAGGGGGACACAAAATGCAAGAAAACTGACACAAGTTTTAACCCTCCCTACTCTATCCAAAATATAAAGGGAAAATAACTTTTTTTCTGAAGATCTATTTCAAGCAGCTTGCCATAAGTGAATATCACTTTCTTTCCTTCAGCTTTCATTCCTTAATTACTGAGATGTCAATAGCGTAAATGTCTCTATTGTTAATTAATAATGGCTAAAAAAGGGAAACTAAGGAGTCATACCATGGGGTAAAGTAAAGTGATGTGCAGTAGGGAATAGGAAGAAAAAAGGATGTGGTAAAAGGCCAAAGGTCAAAGTGACAGTTGTTCCTGTGCAGTTGAGGTGCACTATATAAATATTTTTGACACCTGGCCATCATAAAACCAGGTTTGATGAGTTTGGTGTGAAGGATCTTCATTGGCCCACACAGAATCCTGACAGCAATCCTATTGACCTTTAGAATACATTGAAAGCCAGGTTTTTGTTCAACATCAGTATCTGATTTTTTGGGGGACCAAATGGGCACCAAATTTCCGCACACATACTCCAAAATCTTGTAGAAAGCCAGAAGAGTGGAGGCTGTATAGCCCCATATTTTGTGTGTGTGTGTGTGTGTGTGTGTGTGTATGTGTGGTGGAAGCAACTCCATATTATTACCAATGATTTTAGATGGGGATGTCCATCAAGTTCATAAAGGTGTGAGATGGTAAGTTGTCCACAAATGTTTGTCCATATAGTGTATATTTACATTGCATCTTTTGCTCTGTGCGATATTCTCACATTTTATCATATTCTTTTTATGAGTAAATGCTGGCTGGATTAAATATTAAAAAGTTATACATATCAATACACTTGACATCCATTCTTCCCTTGGTTTTATTTTCCATTGCAAAAAAATTTTTTGTTAAACAATAGACATGGCAATAGAAGGCAGATAAGAAATGATTTACATAATAAATATGTATTAGTTCTAAATTACATTTCATTGTGATTAGCACAGTATCTATTTTTTCTTTTTTCATTCTGTGTCAGTTTTCAGATGTTTTCATTTTCAGGGCTATTGGGAGGTTTGTTTCCAAAAAGTATATGTCACTTGCAGCAAATTGCTGCAATTACTGTAAGTTTGTCAGTCACAAATAAACTATCAACAACCATAACTTTCTGTGCACTGGCAAAGTTATATCCACATAATTGTAAAAATATACTACATTACTTTATTTTTTTTAAGTTTTTTTTTTTTATACTTCTAATCTTATTTTGGCAGGATTTTAAAATTTACCGTTTTGCCATCTCTTCTTTCTTTTTTCTGATATCCTCCTTCATGGCGCTAGCTGAGGGCAGCAATTTTGCTCCTAGAGTTTAAAGGGACACAAAAAAATGATAATAAGTATTTTTTGCATAAATGTACAAAAGAACTAGACTTCTAAGGTTACTCCACTTTGTTGTAGTTTTGTATAGAGTCAGCAACCCTTTCAAGGTTTTGTTGTTGATGGTGTCTCTTCTGCGGAGATTCACTAGGGTTGATTTACTAAAGGCAAATAGGCTGTTCACTTTGCAAGGGAATTTGAGCTTGCATAGGGAATTTTTGCCCTAGCTTAGTGGATATAGTGAAGCTCTGCTGACTTTCATCATCCAATCGAGTGCAAGCAAAAATCCTTACACATGATTGGGTATTCTTTGCAAAGTGGATTTTCACCACATTCACTAACCTTAGAGAAAAATCCTCTGCAAAGTGCAAATTCCCTTCCAAACTGAACAGCCTATTTGCCTTTAGTAGAATGAACCCCGTTGACTCCATTTGTCGTAGTGACTATTGTTACCAGAACTAAAAGTAAAGTAAATTCAAACTGTATGCTGCTAAAGGTGACAGTTTAAGGTGACAGTTGTCTAAAAGGGAATTTCTCTGACTTTGGATCAATCTACTCACACTACCTACTGGGTCCACAGAACAGGAAACAAAGATAAATCTCTGAAATGGAACCAAGAGATCAAAAAATATATATCTGACATGGGTATTAACTATTCCCTACTCTTTCTAATATTAAAAAATGTTTTGGCTTTAGATATATTTTGAAGCCCATCTCAAGTTGGAAAGAGTAAGGATCTCTGTAAGATTTTTTTTAATGAATGTTTCGGACCGCAAAGATTTTTCATCTCTCTTTCTATCCCTGTGACATCAGGACAATAAATGGCAGAAATAAATCTCGCCAAGCCAAGTAGACACAGGGGTCTATTCACGAAGCTGCCGAGGGTAGCTGAGTGAATGACCGATCTGAAGTGAAGTGAGCCGAACACTGTTCGGCTATTCACTTCAGGCTGGTACGGCTGATTTCAGCCGTACATCGGCTTGCTTCGAGTGGCTTTGGGTCGGCCGAACATGCTCTGCATGTTCGGCCGACCCGAAGTGCTGAAGCAGTTTGACTCAGCCGATCCAACATCTGGATCGGCTGAGCCGAACTTCCGGCATGCTTCTCACTGCTGTTCGGGCCATTCTTAAAGATGCCGAACAGCAGTGAGTGAATAGTGAAGAGGGACCGAGTAGAACAGAAAAATAGTTTAAAAAGTAAAAAAAAGTAAATAGAAAACGATTGTGCGGAGCAGTGCATTAAAAACCTTGCAGAAGTTCTACAGGGCTATTCATTAAAGGGTGAAGAGTTTGGAGAAGGCAGGAGAAGTGAACAATCTAGGACAACATAGCTGAACTGGAAAGTGAGCTGAAATGGAGAATTTTTCCAAATCAGCTATTTTGGCCTAGATTGTTCACTCCTCCTGCCTTCTCCAAACTCTTCACCCTTTTGTGAATAGACCTGCTAACTTTTCCCTACTCTACTCATAAAGGGTGTTCTCTTTGTAGAGATTTTCCATCACTTATTCTCCCTGTGATACCCTGTGTTCCCATACAGATCCTACCCTACTCTAGCCATAATTTAACAAAATGCTTTGGCAGGAGAAACTATAATGTGGGCATCATGAGCACATATTTATACTATGTTTTCATGATTACATATATGTAGATTTTAAGTGCAGGTTGTCTTTTCAACAATTCAGGGTTCACAATTATGGAAAAAGCTAAAATAATTTACAGATAAATCAATGTGTTACAGGATAATCTCACTTTTTCAGAATTTGTAGTGCAAACTTATTAGGATAATACATATTGCTATAATGTCTCGAAGATCACCAATGCCTATATCAAGATACACGCTCTCTAAATAATACTGGGTTCTAGAAGTGTATCAGTAGTAGTTACACCTCCCTCCACAAAAAAAACACTAATGTGTAGCTGTTACCGCAGGATACCGAACAAGAACACTGAAACTTACTTTCATAATATTCACACTCCTTAGATCTACTCCACTGCCTGTAGCTGACAGTGAAAGAAGTAGATATATAGAATGTACAGTTAGTACCCCCAAAAGTAGCACCTACTGATGAACAACCTGGCACCAAAATGGACAATAGCACTAGTCATTACAAATTACTTGGATCACACCATACCAGGTGCAGTCAGTGAGGAAGGGACATAATTATGTAGCCTGCACTCTAATTTTTGGATGGCACACTATCTGTGTGCTGCAAATGTCTTTTTGTAAAACTCAGGTTTCCTGCTGAGGCTATATGAGGGTCAGCTGTACAGGTAGAATCTAAGCACTAGAATAGATTTAATACAAAAAAGCTTTCCACAAACATCTAAATTCAGATGGTTTAATACACATCGTCGGATTGTGTATGTCTAGGCCTACAGAAAAAACAGAGGGAGCACTGAGATAAACCTCCATATTTCATATAAGGCCATACTTCAGATAGGCAAAGCAATAACCAGTGGCCAGTATAATCCAAACCAACCAATTGATTATTTCACCCAAGTAGACTTAAACAGGGCTTATAGACATACATTCATGGTCTGACTTAGGGTCCATTCACACTAGACGCTATGAACTGATCCCAGCACATCGCACTGTTTCCTTATTTTTTTAGAACTTTATTGAAATGTCACTTGTGACATTTCATTAAGTTCTACGAGTACAGCGTGATGCAAGGCGGTTGTACCGCGTTGCATCCTGCTGCACTCGGAAACAGTACTGCATCCAGTACTTTTATTCAGCATACACCACCAAGTTCAACTGCAGAAATTTGGTGTGAACTGTGTCCATCTGCATATTGCCTTGTCTTGCGTTGGGTCTGTGCTGAAAAAACAGCCAGTGCGGCCCCAACGCATCTGGTGTGAATTCACCCTGAAAGTGTATTTCCACTTTTGCAGCCAAGTTGGGATAACACCTATTTTATATTTGTTACATGTTCCCATTCACATCACATAAGCTAAAAAAAAAATTAAAAAAAATGCTTGCAGGTTAAAATTATTTTTATTTGCTAAAACCTCTACTTGGCTTCTGTCAGGACGGGCTGTGAGGGGTTTGTGTTAAACGTATCTGTACTGTGCTGCTTTATTTTATTATAATTTGTAAGGTAGATTTAAACACTGACTGTCCTAGAAAAAGGTTACAGGATTACAACCCTGGCTTTTGCATTGTATGTTAATGAGAGAAACAAGTTCAACACATTCCTGTCCTCAGTCTTTCAATAAGGACAGGTCACTGTGAAGGTGCTCAGAAAAACTAGGATTTAGCCATGTTGCCTGCTGCAAAAAAACATATAAACGGTAAGAAATATATATTAAAAAAATATTTCTCAGCAGGAACACATAACAAACATATAATGGGGTTTCTCTCAAATTTGCCATTAAAAGTGGAAATATACTTTAAGCTCATGCCTACAGACATCTTAGTTAAGGCTGTTTATTGTTAATTGATTTAAAAAAATATAATGTACTGAGTCTCTCACTTAAGGATATGCCACAGCATACTCCAAATTGAATACATGAGGATGCGGCCACTAACATAAAGAGTTATATTTTCTGCTCTGCCTTGCATCTTGCACACTGACTAGTCTGATGACATAAACATTTTGCATACCTACGGGCCTGTGAAATATGCACAGTAGATATAGCTGCAGATGCATAAGGAGGAACATATATGTGATGAAGCAAAAGGAAATACAAAAAGATACTAGAGTTGGTGGTGGGAGGAAGAGTACTGTCATGGACTAAGGAAAAAGACAGGGCCTTTCACAGGAACACATTTTTAAGACAGATATTAGGACAGCTCCTTCCTGGTAGAAGCTCAGTATATGGCAACACATCTAACACTGAATATAACTGTTTTTACTTTTCCCACTAAGATCTTTAATATATGGGTACCTACCAGTGAAGACTCTTGCAGCCAATCGGCACTGCATTTCCGAGATGGGCATGATGGCTCCAAGCGGTTGTATCAAACCAATGACAGCCAGCGTCTGTTTCTCCAACTCGGGCAGAAAAGTATATTTATATAATGACACTTTGTTGTTTTCCGCTTTAATCTCTTTGCAAAAAGGGAAGCTGAAGCTATAGCCTGTTGCAAATATGACAACATCAATGTTTTTTTCTTCACTCTCATCATCAAAAATGGCATCCGTTTCTGTAAACCTTGCCACGTTGCATTTCACCAGTACAGTGCCTGCAATAATTCGGTTGGGAAGATCATCGTTCACCATGGGATGCTGGTTAAAAATACTAACAACAATAGGGAAAAATGGTTATTAAAATGATGTGTAGAACAGTTGGAATCTATGTGATACCCTTTATTGGCTAACCTAGGATGCAATTTTTCTGGATTCCTTAGATCCCTATTATTTAAGCAATGTACAAAGCCTGAAGAAGGGATCAGAGGAATACTGAATGTTTGCATCATTAGTAACTTAGGCTAGTCAGTAAAGGTTATCACTTAAACTTCAAACTTTCTGTACTAATTGATGGCTAACCTGTACAATGCTCTACTACTGCTAGGATAAAAATGATCCCTTAAGGATGTTTTCTTAAACTTTGTAGCTGTTCATTAGATGGATTCCAGTATATTTTGCCAACCTCAACATTGTCCTGGACTCTAATGACAAGCTTTTTACCAGGCTGCTTCTTCTTAGTGACCTTTCTGTCGGTTTGCAGGAGCACCAAGAGCAGTCAAGTCTTCCTCTAGAAGTGAACTTCCATGAACTGGTCTTCTGACACCTGTGCCACTCCCTGCCCCCTCACTTCCTGTGCACTACTCCAGGTGTGTCTGGACCAGAAGTGTATGGAAAGCCTTCATGTCCTTTAACCAGGTACATGATAATGGGCCTCAAATCTATAGTTAGTATATGGACCTGAAGGGTTTATCAATTTTCAGAAATCCATAAGGGTACTGCTCTAGTGGAGCTCTACTGTAATAAATGTATTTAATTTGCCTATATAGCCAAGTGTGAACTATGGTGGTATCAGACTGGTAAACTGTCATTGAAAAAGTAAATTGATCATAAGTATCAATCTCACAAAATGCAGGGGGACTTCAAAGCCATATGTAAGTACCTCTAGGTGTCTGCATTGTATATCTGTCAGCAGCTGTTTTTTTTTAATTTGACTCATTTAGACAGTCTCTCTATCTGCTAAATTGCTATAATTTTTGATCTAACATTCATTTCCTACACATAACTGCCCAATAGCTAAATTCTTGTGTTTTGGATCCTTATCTTATAAATTTGCTCAAATATATTTTCTTAGAGATGCTTGGACCTAAACCTGAAGAAGTTCAGCCTCTCCCAGACAAGATGCAGCATAAAAGGGAGGTTGCACAGCACAGTATCATATGGAAAAAGACAATTTTCCCCAGAAAAAGTGAGAGAAGCCTGCTAAATCTCTACAACTCTAATTACAGGCCAACAAAACCCACATTTACAATACAGTTTCACTGGCAAGTTAAAGTGTATATGCCCCCAAAACACAAATGTAATATATTTCTTCTTTCTAATCCTTAAATGTGGTGACTACAATAGTTTTCTTTTCTAGGCTTTAGGTAAATAACACACTGTCTGTCCTAAGGTGGCTACACTAAATAAATCCACTGTATCTATGGAGGGAGCCATGGTTGTCACCAACGCTGCTCTTCTGATTTGGATTACAAACATGTCTTCCTTGCCTCATCTTCATTACATTGAGGTCAGGGAAATTTGTATTTTAAAGACCATAGCTTGGAAGGAAGATAAGATTGTTTTATGCTTTCAGTTCAATTCGCTGGAAGATACAAGGACACTGCATTTCTGGCAAGATCAACAGGTATTACCTGTACTTGCTGAAAATTTCATTTTCCTGAAAAATGGAAACTAATGCAGCTGCCACATCTAAGAATTGACACTAATAGCAAAGGGTTCCCATCTGAATTCACAGTTCTGACCAATTGCCTCAAAGTATGGTGCCACGCTTTACAGGCAGATTCTTCTTAATGTAGAATAAACACATGAATTGGGAGTCCTGCTGTAAGAGAATGATTCCATTGTTATGGACTTGCTGGAGGGTATAACATCAAACCCTAGTGTGAAAGAACCAAGTTATCGGATTTATTACAAGAATCCAGTGAGCGACTCAATGGATTTGTGTGCACCAATTACAATATAAGGTACAATTATAGTTCACTTTTTCTGGTAATCAACAGCCATTTGGAATATTTTTGTAAACAACAGCTTTCTGGACTAATTTTGCATTGACTAGCAAATGGCTGTTTTGCTCTTTATTGTGAATTTCTTAACCAAAATAATACTATATATCCCAACACCCCAAATCGATCAAACTGTTTGCAAAAATTGAATATCTGTGTTGTTTCTTTTCCTTGATTCACACTTTTTATGTTTTCAAAGATAGCATCTAGAAGATATCTCCTGAGAAAATGGTTTGAGAAAACTGACTTGAGTAAGGTAAGACAAAATCATTGTTTGGTAAAAGCCAGAAAAAGTTGCATGGGTTCACTAATACATATTTAAGTTAGGTAAATACCCTACCTGTGTTTAGGTTTCAAGCCATAATTTGCATGGTCAAACCGCTGGTTCATTTTGGATTCACCAACATAGTTCAACACAGGAACTGGTAAGGCATGTTTCAGTGTATTTAGAAAGCGAGTAAGATGTAACATGTCCACTGGATATCCATAATTAGAGACCCGATTTAGAACCCAAGATCCTCTCCTGGTACTGAGAAACACCTGAATAGAATTCAGTTGGAAATATTTAAAAAGTTGACACGTATAACAGAAATATACCAACGTGCCAGCAGGCTCCTGTAACCATCACAACATTCTGTCTCATATCTTTTTCAAAATAATTATATCAAAGAATCCCCAGTACCCCTTTAGATCTGCATCCCTGGTGGCCACTGGGGGGAACAGATTTGAGCTGTGTAGTCTGCTAATTGTTTGACTCTAGTTGCAGGCATTGCTAAAGGGAAAAGGTGTGCTTTTTCACATAAAGCTTGGGAACAAAATGATTGATGGCAGAGAAACTAAAAGCTAAAAGAGGGGGGTCAGCGAAAGCATGTATCAGAGGGAGAAGTGATTGATGAATGATGGAGGTCATTCAGACCAGAAAATGGTGGGCTTAAAATAGCTGCTGCAGCATTAAAGGGTTATGTTGTAGAAATGAAAATTTACATAGGATTGAGAGCATTTTGTTTCTGCAGAGGAAAGGACTTGTTACAAGTGTGGTAAAAAAGTTAATGCTGGAGTTCACCTGTGCGTTTTTCCAGCGCTGATCGAATCGCTGAAAAAAGCTCAAACAGTGAAATCCCATACTTCCCTATGGACATGATTCCCACCTGAGCGTATTTCAGCCCGTGGAAATGCGCTGATAAACGCCCTACGCCCAAACAAGTACAGGAGCTTCTTTGGGGCATTTTTCCGCGCGTATCCGTTGGTATTCCCGTGTGTGGCTCGGGGTTAACAAATCGGTAACCCCGAGCCACACTCAGGAATACAGCGTAGGACTTACCTTGTTCGCGATCCCCGCTGTGTCCTCCGGCCGCTGCCGACTTCCGGGTTCCGTCCCTTGTGAGTTGCCGCTTTGCAGGGGGGTGGAACCGGCGGGAAGTTTGAAAGTTTCAAAAAAAAACCCGAAAAAAAAGATAGAGACAATAAAGTAAAAATTTTTAAAAAATCATACCGCCAGGGAGGTATAAAATCGAGCGTCGAACGTGCGCTTTACTGAACCAAAAAACTAGCTGAAAAAACACGCCTATGGTACGCCCAGGTGTGAACCCAGCCTAAACACTGGAATTCAGAACTAAGTTTTCACTGGACAACTGTGCTCTATGGAGACTTTTAGCAACCTACAGTGTTAAAACAACTAAAAGTTACAAAAACTAAAAAAGCTTGATGGTGCCCATTATATCCACCCAACAATAAAATACTTAGACTAATGATCTTGTGATCTTAAACATGAATGAGCAAATCTGCCTGAAATTGATTCGCTGGCTTTTTGGCGAATCCTGTCAGAAATTCATGGAACCCAAACTCAATCCCAAGAAACCCCAAAATATATTTTTTAAAGCTACAGTACAGCAGGGACAGGGTCTTTTCATGTGGCTTCCAGGGCAACAATTAAAATACACAAAACCTTTAACTAACATGCTTAAAGCTGGATGTAGTGTTAGGGAACATAGGAAGTACATTTTTTACAGGCCATCTCAACTACAGTGTACACTGGCAGCACAGAATTTATTTATTTTTCTTTTAAAATTAGCTTGGCTTACTTACAGCAGCAGCACCCAATATAATTCATTTCAGTTAAAAAAATATTTATTTCAAGTAATTTTAGCAGCAATACATGCTCTTTCATTAAGAAGCAATAGTCACGCTTTTACTTGCAGATAGAAAATAGCCAGTAGGTCACTAAGGCAGTCCATGTTTTCACTAATGCAAAACTGCCCTGTCACTGGCCATTTTCTATCAACTCTTATTCATTTTAATATGAAGAGGTTTTTTCCTGTAAACAGACAATATCTGGACGTATCTGGGGTCTCAAATAATTGACAATTGTAATAAATTTGATATACATTGCTTATTTGCACGACTACCCCTTCAACATTTTTAAAAACCTAAACTTTTATTTGGTATTAAATTAAAAGCTTTAAATGATTCCAACAAAAGTGAGTGTCTTTGCCAATACTTTTATACATAGAATTTATAGTTTTCATTTAGGGGTGTCTCCTCCTCCCCTTGTTCCTGTATATGCCCATTGATTTCTGTTTTTTAAGTCCTTCTGGTAGCATTGCCCTACCTCCTGCCTTTGAGCTTCTAAAAGAACTTCAGAAATTGAATTATCATTACCAGGATTTCCTGGGAAATCATACCAAATCTATCAACTTATTCAGTATTTCTAGAATTTTCCATTAAAAAATGTGGGTTATTGTACCCCATCTCCTTCTATATGGCCATGGGTATACTTCATCTTTCTAAAGGTTTCTAAAACACATGGCTTTAGAATAAGATGGGGTACAATAACTCAATATTTTGACAGATCTGAAATATCAATATCTAGATTCTATGGATTCTCATACCTAGTTGGTTTCTGGGAAAATATTATTAGAAAAAGTGAGACACTTTACAGGCAAATACTAACTCAAATAACATCTTCCAAAAAACTATCTGCATTGAATCCGCATGTCTCATGGTGCTAGTGATTAAAAGCAGGCCAATATAGAGCAATATAGGCACAATCAAGAAGCCTAGATTTCCTTACATTCAGTGGGATTCACTTGCCATTTGCCCTGCAGTTTTTTAGTATTCATAACATACAGTACATCAACAGTGGAAGTAGGGGGAAAATTCCAGTAGCACAATCACTTATCCTCATTGAATGTAAGTTGAGTCTTTGTTGAATGTATGCAGTGGATAAATAAAACTCCAGGATCTAGGTCTCTATAGTATTGGCTACAAAGCCATGGCCTGGGGACAATAATGTAGCTATCTGTTTTGGGTAGACTTATCCCTAAAGCTGAACTCCAGTCAGCTAAAAAAAAATCCATTCTGGTAGCTTGTTCTCTCCCCTCCCACATCCCAAGATAGTAAGCTTCTAATGCATGTTTAGTCTAGGGAGTATGGTATAGACAGTCTTATTTACCTTATTCCTCATTTCTGCAGTCTTCCTCCCTGCTGGACAACCGGTCCTACAAAGCCCCTCCTCTTTATCTGTTATGTGGCTGCCTCCTCACTAATTTGATCAGGCACAATGCAGGGCAGGTACCCCTGAACTGTGAGGACATTGAGGTCCAACCCGCATTGTAGGAATAAAGGAAAGTGGAGCAGAGCACCAGAGCACCATGCTGCTGGGGGAGCAAGGAATAAGGTAAGCATTGATCTTTGTTGTATCCCCCGGGAATAACAAACTTTAAATGCTTACAATCTGGGAGAGGGGTGGGGAACTACAATTTTAAAAGCTGGCAGAGGTTCCTTTTTTAAAGTAAACTTTTGATGGGAGAAATAGGGAGGCTGTCATTGTTGAATTACTTCTGTAGATACTTTTTTGGCTTTCTTGGCAATAAGGATGACTCGTTGGTCAATACTACAAGTCAGACCCAGGACACTGAAGCATATCACGAAAGTCAGATTTAAGTCTCAAGTCTCAAAGTAATAAAGCCACAGGGTCACAATTACTGCCAAAAAATTAGGATTTGCAGAATGAGAAGTAGCGATGGTAACCTCCATGCTTGTTTAAGAAAAGGTTTCCTTTTCAACTATTGTCTTGCATTAAGAATGAAATGTACAATCACATGTTATTGGCTTTTGGTCAATTATAGTTTATATCTTTTCCTGTGGATTCAGTCATACCTGGGATGTGGTTCTGCTGAGCTCAACAGCAATGTCTCCACCAGAGTTTCCAATACCGATCACGACCACTCTTTTACCTGCAAATTCTTCGGGGTTCTTATAATCCCGACTGTGAAGGTAGCGTCCTTTAAAATTTTGGATTCCTGTCACATATAGATACAGAAAGATATACATTATTGTTTTACAGTTCTATAAAAATGCAAGAGATTTAACCTAATAGTCCTACAGATTTGTTCAGCTTTTTATTTGAAATCAAGGTTGATGCCCACTGTTTACTGCATTTACAGTATGGCATCTTTTGTTTCATAAAAGCTTTGATCAAATTAAGTAAATGTCAGAGGTATTTATGTTTACAGAGAAGCAAACACAAGAATGTGATCATTAGTATCTTTATGATGTAACTTTCCAAGGTAAAGAAAATATCATGCATGCTAATCCAGCTATATACCTAAGGCCCCTTTCACATGGGTGCCATCTGTTCTGATCAGCAGGGGATCCATGCACAGATCCCTTGCTGATTGGAGCAGTATGGAACAGATGTGGCTCTTATGCCATCCATGTCTGTTTGGTTTTTTTTCCTACATCTTAGAGAAAAAAAAAAGCTGCATGGACCTATATTAGTGTATGGGGAAGGTAGATGTAAGTGGATATGCGTCCATTTACATCAGATTACCTCCAATCTGCCACAATCAGGTCTGCCAAAACGGAACTTTGTACCTTTTTCTTGCCGGACCTAGACGGGGTCTGGGGAAATCAGATGTAAACGGACACCTGACTCCCTATAGAGTTACATTGAGCTGCTGATCTGCATGCGCATTTCACTGGTTGGTTTATTGGATTTTTCACTGTATATGTTTTTATTTATGTTGGTGTGTTCAAATAAATTGTATTGTGTTTCACAGAAATGTGTTACCAGCTATTGGTTTCCTGCTACTACCTTTGCAACTGCCAACACATTGTTACAAAGCTGTGCTAATGTATTTTCCTGAATCAGGATATGTAACAATGTAATCTCTTGCTCCTGATTCATATACAAGTCCCTTCATCCTCATTTCAGACAGTGACTTTCAGCTGTTCCAGAATTTTCATAATGTTCATAAGTGGGGTAAAGAGATTACTGCTTTAGAATCAGTGCTGCTTTGTATACATTAGGACAAGTTAATGATTTCAAAAATACTGTTTCAAATGTGTACCTTCCTAGCACCAAACTTTATCAGGTACAGTTACATACATAACGATACAAATGCATGGACCTTATGGCCAACTGGTCTTTCTACTACCATAGGTACCAGAACAGCATCAAACTATATAAGGCAGATGTAGCAGCAAATCACATTTCAGATTACTATTGTCATGTTATTTATTTCTGCCTGGCTGATACAGGCTACTGAATGTTACACATCGCCATTTCTGTTTTGCTGTAATCATAAATACTGTAAGCATGATAATGGGCCTTCACCATGTGCAGTCTTGATTCTACCAGTGTTTGTTTAAATGACAGAAAATCATATTCAGCAACTCGTTTTCTGAATTGTAACATAGGGGTCTATTCACAAAGCTGCCGAAGGATCTGGTCATAGCTTCGGCCGATCCTTCGGCTAGCTTCGGCCCCAGGACCCCTTCGGTTCAGGAGAACCGGGGGGGTGCTGTACGGGCTATTCACCTTTGCAATAAAGAATAACGTTGCATTAGAAACCAACTTCAGCTACACAAAACCTGCAATAAAATAATCAGCTGACCTGGGAATGAGTCCAGAGGGAGATGAGCATCTGTATGATGGCCGCTACAAACAAGTACAGCATCATAGATGGCTGTCTCCTGCTTGCCATCTTTTTCGGTTGTGACATCCCACTGTCCAGTCTTGGCAAAGTCTGGGCGTTTGGCAACACTTAACACGTTGGTCTGAAATTAAGATGCCTGCCATTAATTAAAAATTATGAATTCATCTCTTCACTTAAAAGAGTAACATTTTAATACATTATCCAAGGAAAAGCCAGCATCTCATCAAGTCAGATGTAAATGCAATGCAAAGGTCAAGAACCAGTTGCACATCAGTCCTATTCATGGCAAAATATTAGGCTTTGGTGGCATTGTGAATTGAGGAGATGATGGATCACTTCTAGAAATTAAAGCATATTCCAAATATATTCCCACCACTTTAACATCTATTTACAAAATAATTTGCGGAGCTATTCATCCAGTAAAACTACATATGTGTACATTTGTTCTATGCAAACTAATTAGCTGTTGTGAGAATGGAGCAAAATCTAATGTTATTAAGCATTTTGTTATCTGGTCAAATGTTTTTAGGTATTTAGGAGTAATCCATATACCGAGGTGAATTCCTCCTATATATTCCTCACCACCATAACTAAGGTCTGCAAAGTGTCCGTTCTGTATTCCAAATCTAGCAAATTAACATTAGAAGGCACATATATGGCATAGTTCTTATTAAATATAAACTTAGAGAGCATGCTGTCCATCTAGGGTATCCAAAGCGTGCTCATAAAAGTTATTTAATTTCACAGTGATGCAATGTGAATGGGTTACTGCTCAGTGTCTATACCAGTGGTAAGCAACCTCAGCACTCCAGCTGTGGTGAAACGACAATTTCTATGTGGCATTGCAAGACTCTGATAGCCACAGGCATGACTCCCAGATACAGGCACTTGATGGGATTTGTAGTTTGACCCTAGCTGGAGTTCTGAGGTTGCCTACCCCTGGCCCAAATACATTCAACCAAATAAGAAAACGTCTTGAGGACATTCAATGTTGCCCCAATCTCACAACAGCCTGTTAATTTGCAAAGAATGAATGTATGTGCAGCTTTTGCTAGGTGAATAGCTATGCAATTTTTTTAAATAGACCCCCTTTGTTTCCTAAAAGTCAACATTTCTCAGGTCTCTTTACGAGGTCTTAAAAACTGGTTATTTATTTGTTTAGAAGTTAATCGTTGCTCCATTTATGACACTTTGTTACAGGGTCTTTTCTATTACAATTATACTGACATATTGTTTTTATATTTTGTATAGTAATCAAAATAATTTATATATGTATTGTATATACTATATCATGTATTCATGTTCTATGCTTTTATTTCCAATCTATTCTTTTTTATTATCTATCTTCTTTGACCTTTTTATCTAAAGTATGCTGTTTTCATGCCCTAGTTGCATAACATTGTCATAAGTAAATGATTGCCTCTTTCAACATTTAATATTTTGTTACAAAAGAATATCTTGTTCCAAACTCCCAAAAGAAACTGAGTTGCTGAGAAACTGTCCTGTCTAATACAACATTACATTATTGTACTATTGCACTCAGCCCAAACAGGATTACTGTGAATAGCCAATATTTTACGTATGAGATTTTACTGCCATGCTGTATCATGTTACACACTATCATTATTAGTACATTACAAACAGTTTAAGAGTCCCCTAACAACATGTATAGGCGTTAGCACCATATGTTAAGGATTAGTTGCTGTTCATAGCTGCTCTACTGTTTATAATATGCCCATATTCATAGCTGCACAGCCAATATTGTTGTTCATCAATAACCCATACATCATTTCACAACATACAAGTTTCAAGATCTATATTTTTAGTCATGTGACTGTAATTATCAGATCTCATTTTATTTTTAAAGTATTGCTCCTTATCCTGCTGTTTTAGCTTCGTGAATTGAGGCTAATTGAGTCTATTGCCTGTACTTAGTCCTCATCCACCATAACCACAAATCTATTATAAACATATTTTAAAAAAATGCTAATTCAATGATTCCACAACTGCCTCTATGCATGTTTGGTCATGTAGGCATCCCTATATTACATATAAACCAGAAAATTGGTTAAAAAGATGCTGCATTCTATTAATTATTTCTATGTAACAGTGGCTGTGTGTACCAGCAAAACTGTCAGAGCGTTCAGCTAAGGTCAGTTACAGAGAGATAGGTAACCTTCTTTTTTACAAACATATACGCATACTGGACAACATTAAACCACAGCAAGCTTACCTTGAACTGGATGTACTGTGTCAGCTGAAAATGTTCTGCATACTTTTTGAAATATATTAATATCTTGGAGTTGTGCATAAAATTTGGAAAATCATCTGGAATTGGGAAATCACTATAACTCATCATCTCCTTTGAAGTGTTGATAATGACAGATTTATAAATACTTGCTCTGCCATCTTCTGGATTTTCCTGTAATGGATTATAGTTTAAATATGCAATTATTTTCTTGATGTAAAGCCAGTATATGAACATACCTTTGGTTTAAATATACTTGACAAATTAAGTAAAAAATCATAGATAACTATTTTCAATTTAAGCATTAGAAATTATAAATGCTAACTTATGAAACAAATATCAAAAGAACAATAATATCCCTTTAAAATCCATCATGACATTACAGCAATATTGCGCCTTTGTAACTTCCTGTGCATTGAACTAAAACCTCAAACAATGTTATCAGCTTTCTCTCCAATATTCTTTGGGTCTACAAAGCCATCTCCCACCCTATGTAATGGACATAAGGAGAGGATAATGTGTCCAAATCAGGAGAGCAGCCTAGTGTTACAAAGCTGCTCCTCTATAGATACAGTGAAGTTAGTAAGTGTTGTCATCATAGGATAGGAAGTGTGTTACTGGCAGGGTCACCAGGTAGAAATGTGGAGACTGATAAAGGGGTTCTAAGGCAATGGCAAAAATCAGAGGCAAGAGGGGACACCCCTGCCTCATACACCTTTGTAAATAGAAAGAAATACACAATAAGTAATTAATCTTCACCATGGAAACATGGATTGCCATAGAGAAGTCTTACCCACTTGGAAAAGTTAGGCCTAAAGCCAAATGTATCAAGTATAGCCCATAATTACTCCCACCCCCCATAAACCAATGCCTTTGCCACATCAAGGGTAAGTGGATTTGCATGTTCAGGAATACCATTTGTATGTAATATAAAGCATAAATCCTGTTTGGCTGGGATGTATTATGGTGTGCACCACTTAGGCCATCCTAGTGGCAGGCCCTTTGGCTAAAATTTTGATCTGATGGAATAGAGAAATGGAAAGAGAAGAGACAGGGAGAAGAGGGTTGTTACCTTCCTTCAGAAGCACCACTATAGTAGGTTCATACATTGAGGTCAGACGGAAACTGGTATTAGGTATTTAGCATAACTAACGGGTCTATTCACGAAGCTGCCGAAGGATCTAGCCGTAGCTTTGGCCGATCCTTCGGCTAGCTTCGGCCCCAGGACCCCTTCGGTTCAGTAGAACCGAAGGGGTGCTGTACTCAGTTGAGCCGTACGCATATGCCTCGGCTCGGCTGAGCCACGCTGAAAGCTGAAGCTGGCCGAGCGGCTGGCCATTGGCCGGTCAATAGCCTGCTTCTGACAGCTGGGGGGAGCCAGCCGAGATCAGCGTCCCTGGTTACCTGCTAACCAGGGACACTGATCTCCAAACAGCAAACTCTCCCTGGAGCTCCGGGAGTCTCCCGCTCCCGGCCGCCAAGGAGAGAAACACTGCTGTTTCTTTTTTTATTTTTTCTATTCTGACACAGACGTGTCAGAATAGAAAAAATAAATACATTTTTTTTTGCCCATTAGAATGCATTGCTAGATTCCTATTGGCTATTTGAATTTGCAATAGCCAATAGTAAACTAGCGTTGTACCTGCCCTCTGCTGCAATTCTCCATCAGGTCCATCAGCAGAGGCGGGTACGATGCTAGTTTACTATTGGCTATTGCAAATTGAAATAGCCAATAGGAATCTAGCAATGCATTCCAATGGGCAAAAAAAGAACAGCTGGTTCTTATTAACATCAAGAAGCAGCATCCACTGTAAGTGATTTAACAAGCATTTGGAAAAGCTTAAAACCCTTTTGACATCAATATCACTTTAGATCTTAAAAATGCTTTCAGGTACTTTAACTATTAACAAAAATGCAGCTTAGTTGTGTATCACTTAGCTGTAGATTAGTGGCTACACAGTATCAGCACAAATGCAGAGATGATTTCAGGATCTACAGCTGAGTCATACACAAATAAGCTACATTTTGTTAATAGTTACGGAACTTGAATGTGTTTTTAAGATAGGGATGTTCAGATACCAAGTACCGTACTCAGTACAAGTACATGTACAGATACTTTTCTAGGTCCAAGACTAGACTAGAGAAAAATTCAAAAGCTAGGAGGCAGCTGTAATTCCCTTGAGCAACAGGTTAACAGTGCAAAACATATGGCAGATCATAACTAGTACATAAGGCTAGATCAGTCTGTGATAGGGTATCGTGAGTTTCGCAGTGGCACAAAAACTGGGAGACATGTGGGGAAGACCAATGTCAAAGATTGCCAAGTTCAATTACCAGGTATACTCTAGAAAATAGGGTCTGCGTAGGGTGCTCATGCAGCCAGGCAAGTGGAAACCTATATATAATTCTTGAAATCACCAATGACTAAAACAGAGAGAGACAGGTTCGCTGCCATAAACTGTGCCAATGTTTTAAGCACCTGAAACCTCATTAGAGTTCGGGAGAGAAACAGATGGTTGCCAATATACATTCCAAACCAAATAATTTACAATAAATAAACACATAATGACTCAACTTGTCTGATCAAATCTGATTACAGGAAAATTGTATTTTTTGTGGATAAGAATAGCTATGCTTTGAGCATAATAAAGAAGAACTCCAGGAATTTTAAAAACGTACATTTGCAGTGGGGCTACTTCTGCACTGCAAGGGTTAACTGCTCATTTTCGCCTAGGTGATAGGTGGAGATAAGCATGGACACCATAAAGTAGCCCAGCAGTTACAAGAGGCTGAGGGTGAGTGTAATACACCAGAGGAGCATAACCATGGCTTAATTTATTAAAGCTGCTCATACAGACCTGCAGGCCATGTCCATTCAGATATCAACACATTTTATGCACATAGACAAACCACAGAACCAATCATGTTAGCTGCCATGATGCTGCAGGAGAAAGCTAAAACGGGTATTTCTGTGCTGTTGTAACATGAAGCTGTCCCAAATGAAAGTGGAAACTCATTAAGTGCACTAACCAGCTGTGGCTACATTTACAAAATAAAGAAAATCTGTAGTGGCTCTTATTTGGCAGGTAGGCCATGAACTTCGAAAAAGTGGTTTACTTGTCCAAGATTTTCAAAGAGACACAGGCAAAGTAGTAGCTTGCAAGCAAATTCTAGGTTTAAAGTCTGGTTACGAAATATCAGCTCTGGTCTTATACACACTTTTGCAAGAACTTTTGTTAAGCAATTAAGTAACTAACTTTGAATCTCCATAGCCCACCAATGTCTTCAGTTCTCTCAAAGCAGGTGGGTTCCAATCCTTCCTCTAAACAGCTTTTAATAGCAACCAGGCCACTAGCCCCAGCTCCTATCACAGCAACCTTTTTCCCCATATTGACCTAGAAAACAAATAAAAAGAAAATATGTTAAAGAAGCAGATAATTAAAACATAACATAAAACCTTACAAATACACACATATGACATGTTCATATATTTAAAGCCTTAGTCCTCACTAAACTAATATTTTGGTTAAGGAGAGATGTTGGTCAGCTGTTACACATTGATATTGTATGTAGTAGCTATGGCAATGAAATCTTAAAGTACAGATTTGGGTCCCACTCTCTCTAGCCATGCTGTAGCACTTTTCATACATTGATGTGCACTTCACATGTTTTCTGGTAAGTGACATTGGAGCACACATCAGTTGCAGCTGTGAAGGGGGCTCTGCTCCAGACGAGCCTGGATCAGTTACTGGACCTCCTTTAACGGATCTGCAAAAACCAGATACAATTATGACAAAGCACCCAGTGGGCAGGACCCGTGAAATGATCAGTCACAGCAGAGTTGTACAGGGAAGCTCTTAAATGTGGAGAGAACAATGACACTTCCACACGTATCCTTTGTCCAGCAACATGTGATTGCTGAGGTCTGAATTAAAGTGTATTTAATAATGCAAGCCAAAATCGTAACAAATAATTATAGGGTATATACATATAAGCCAAGTGCAACACAAAAGAAAGAAAAATAAGCGAGAAAGCCAATAGATAAGCAAGGAAAATTTTACCTGGGAGAACTAAGGCACAACGGATGCATAATGGAAGGATTATTACATTCTGTACCCATAGTCACACAGGCCTGCTGTAAGAATCAATTTTCAGTACCTGTTCGGTGTTTTGTATTGACTGTAACTGGTTTTGCCGCTTAGTAGTAGGGGATAAAATAAGAACAGGGGACAGTCCAAATTCTGCGCGGGTATCGCAATCAAAACAGTGATATCTCTTCCAGTAGCAGCTGTCTGAGAGTGGATCCACTTACCTCCTCTTACTTCCTGTTGTGTCTCCAAGATAGAATGATATGTCTCCAATCAGCCGCACAAAACCGAGGTCCATAAAAATCCAACTTTATTGTTGTAAATTCCATACAAAGTTCAAAAGACAAGGTATACACCACCATAGTATTTCTCCAACTACAACACCTCTTACGCGTTTCACCACCTGGGCTTAATCATAGCTCTATGCCTCAGAGAGCTCTATACCTCATACCTCTATGATTAAGCCCAGGTGGTGAAACGCGTAAGAAGGTGTTGGAGTGGGAGAGTATGGTGGGAGATGGTGGTGTATACCTTGTATTTTGAACTTTGCATGGAATTTACAACAATAAAGTTGGATTTTTATGGACCTCGGTTTTGTGAGAGAGATTGGAGAGATATTATTTGACAAGTAGGAGCACGCTGCAACCTGCACCCGATGTCTGTATTGATCTGCAGTCCGGTGGAATTGGAGCCGCGAGTTTTTTGCTTTTTTGGATAGGACAAAAAAGATGCTTGAACATTCACTATCCTATCCAAAGCTAAACAATGCTTAGGCTATGGATACAATTCAAACCATACAAACCAATTCTTAAGGTACTGTATATGTAAAACCAACCACTAAAAACACACATTAGCTTTCACCTATTAGTTAAAGCTTACATTTTTTGTTATATCTGCAGATCTCACTAAAGTAAATCCAGGTGATTCTGCCATGAATATACTTGTTCCTGCACTTCCTGTTATTAGGTGACAACACTCTGTCCCTATTCCCTAGTTGTGCTCCTGTGTGGTCACCCTGTCACACGGGCAGGGCCGTCTTTAACGCAGGGCAAAAGGGGCAGTCGCCCAGGGCCCAATCATTGTTGTGGGGCCCAAAGCAGCTGCCCCTTCAGCCCACATAAGATAAACACATGCATCCTGTCTGTGTACACAGCATCGGTGCTCTACAGACAGGAGGCTACATACAGCATCATAGACGTGGCTCTGGGCTCCGCCCACTATCAACTTGGCCCCGCCTCCCGCTCTCCGTACTCTGCTCTCCTGTGTTGTCTGGGGCCCTGCTGGGAGCCCACACCGTGCCCTGAGATGTCACCCCCACTGTGTCCCCTCCTGCCTCCCCTCTCTGGACCTTCACACCAAGTAAGTGCCCAAATATGCCACAGTTTATGTATGCAACAGATACATATACTGTGTGCAACAAATACATATGCAGAGCAGGTTCCTGACATTGCGTCTCTAGTTCAATCTATGCTGCTGAAGCAGGATTTAGAGTTTTTAAAGAAAATGTCATCATCAAGTTCTATGTATGGCTGCAGCAAAGCTTCCTGTACTCTCAATACTAGGGATGCACCTATCGATAATATTACAAACAGGATCTGTGCTATGGAACAACAAACCCCTAAGCTGCCATGCTAAAAAACTGTATATAACACCTAAAAAACGTGAATTATAAACATGCCCTGCGCAATAGAGACCAACTACATGTGCAATCTAATCTGATAATCTACATGTGAAATAAATACAGAAATATATAAATACGCAGATTCACCCTATGGTGAATAAATACATATTAGATATTTTCCCACTATATATTGTATTTATTCACCATAGGGTGATTCTGCATACTTACAGTATATATTTATTTCACATATAGATTATTATTAGATTGCATGTGTAGTTGGTCTATAAAATGTATTGCACGTTTATAATTCACTAGGGATGCTACTGCACCGATAGCGATACCTGCACAGCCCGTCTGAGACCCCGTACACAGCCCTCCTGAGATCCCGTATAGTCCTCCTGAGACTCCGCACAGCTTCCCACCAGGATATTGAATATCCTGTCTCTCTCCTGGCTCTCTCTCCTGGCTGTCTCTCATTGCTCTTTCTCCTGGCCGTCTCTCACTCTATCCCCTGGCTGTCGCTTCTGCCTCTCTCTCCTCTCGGTCTCTCCCATTTCTCTCCTGTCTGTCTCTCCTCGCTCTCTCTCCTAACTGTCTCTCTTTGCTCTCTCCCCTAGCTCTCTCTCCTGGCTGGCTCTTCTCTTCTTCTCTCTCTCCCGTCTGTCTCTTCTCGCTCTCTCTCCTGGCTGTCTTTCCTCAATCTTTCTCCTGGTTGTCTCTCTTTGCTCTCTCCCCTGGCTGTCTCTTCTCGCTCTCTCTCCTGGCTGTCTCTTCTCACTCTATTTGGGCTGTCTCTCCCTGCTCTCTCCCCTGGCTGTCTCTCCTCGCTCTCCTCCCTGGATGTCTCTTCTCTCTCAATCCTTGCTGTCTCTTTTCTCTCTCTCCCCTGGCTGTCTCTCCTCACTCTCTCTCCTAGCTGTCTCTCATCACTCTCTCTCCTGGCTGTCTCTCCTCTCTCCCTATTCTGGCTGTCTCTCTCCTGGCTGTCTCGCCTCATTCTCTTCTCTCTCCCCTTGCTGTCTCTCCCCGCTCTCTCCCCTGGCTGTCTCTCCTCGTTCTCTCCCATGTCTGTCTCTCCTCCCTCTCTCTTGTTTATTCTAAAAAAAGTTGCAGTGTGGTGTTAGACTGTTCGGGATTCGCTTGAAGAAAAGGCAGCAACCCTTGCAGCACCATTCTGCTTACTATGCGTTTGGCATCACATAGTGTTGCCCCCACCTCTTCCGTATGCTGCTGTTAGGGCCGGGGGGGGGCCCAAGAAACTGTTTGCCCAGGGTCCAATCAGTATTAAAGATGGCCCTGCACACAGGCTTCCAATGGAGACAAGAAATAATTTATGAAGGTCAGGCATGGTCCATTGTTCTCATCATCAAGAAACCTAATCAGAGAAATTTCATGCAGGGACTGCTGGAGTGTATATAGACATTAATTGGCTGCAGAGAGACTGTAGAAGATCAGCAGCACCCTGCAGCATGCTGTCAGGAGACACGTTTTTCTTCTCAGGCTGTGGTTGCTTTCTAAAAAAGAAACTCTAACCCTTTGCACAGCTTTTGTTTTGATTAGGAATGCACCGATACTGGTATTGGTATCAGTGCCGACACTGAGCAATTGGGCGAGTACTCGCACTCGCCCAAATGCTCTGATACTTATCCCAATACTGGAACTACCGGTCAGATCTCCCTCTGCTCGGCAGTGCCACGAGGGAGCATGGAGACGGCTTCTTGGCCACTCAGGAATCCAGGCGGCACATCATGATCCACTTTCTAGTTTCCTGATTGGCTAGGAAGCCAGATTCATGCTGCCCCGCAACACTGCGAGGCAGCCTGGCCTCCTGACCAATCAGAAAGCCTGACGGCATGTCATGACCTGTCTCCTAGCTTTCTGATTGGCTAGGAAGCCAGGCTGTCTCTCAGTGCCATGAGGGAGTGTGAAGCCGGTGTACTTTCGAAAGAACATCAGCTTCTTGGGCAATCAGGATTCCTGATTAGCCGGGCCCATGCTACCTCGGGATGCCAGTATCGGTAATTGGTATCGGCAAGTGCAAAAAAAAATATATTGGTACTCGTACTCAATGCCAAAAAACGTATTGGTGCATCCCTAGTTTTGATGCAACTAGAATGTGTGTAGCTAAATTAAACTCAATCTCCAGGAAAATTATAATTCCCTGCCACCCCCCCTCTAGCCAATGCTTGTGAAGAAAGATACACTGTCTCTTGCCAGCTCCATTTCCAGGTGCAGGGGACTGCTGATCCAGCACTGCCCATGCTGGCTGATCCCTGACAGTCCCACTGCAGACTCTTCTGGATCCTGAGTGGACCCAGCTGACGTAAAGCCAATAGTAAGTACCTATGCCACACATGCAGTCAAGTGGACACTTGAACAAAAGCCCTGCCTTCTGGGAACAGAAAAAGAGAGATGACCCAAGATTGGAGTGTCGCACAACCACTTTAAGTGAGTAAAAAGAGGATTTTTTTTGTAATGCCAGCAATAATTTGGAGAAGGATTGCTAGGGAAAGCGGTAACAGGAGCTGTGGCCAAATCTCAGGCTTAAAGCAGAACTAAACCACTTATGAATGTTGGGTCTCCAGGAGCTTTTTGCCATAGTGTGCAAATATGGTGAGCATATTTGCACATTATTGCATGCTTATCTTGTGATTTACTCTCCCTGCTGCCCCAAGGCCAGGTTCTGCGATGCAGAACCTGCGATTTAGTTAAAAAAAACTTTCACCTAACTTTATTGCTATCACACAGTAGAAAACAATTCCCTGTGTGATAGCAATTGGAGGTGAAAGGTGACAGGTTCTCTTTATTTACCCTGTCACCTCCAATACAGGAGTTCTAGCACAGCACTGTGCTGGAACTTCTGTGACAGGTGAGAGAGGAAGAGCACAGCTCTCCCCTCTCACTGTCTACAGTCTACACGGAGTGGCAGGGTTACTTTTAACCCTGCCGCTCTGCTCACTGCAGTCAGAGACTCGGGACTCGGCGGCGGAGGACGGAACCAAAGGAGAGAGGTAAGTGCAGGGGGGAGGGGGAGAAGGCTGCACACTGTTTACATGTGAAATCGGCGACATCGCTGCCGCCCCTCTGCGCCCTGCCGCCCCCGAGGCCAGGCCTAGGTGGCCTTGTGGGGAATCCGGGCCTGTGTGAATGCCCTTCTCCAGCAATACAACGGCCTTCTTATCACCGGCACTTTCAACAGGACCAGGTCTTTTTTCCAGATTCAGAGACTTTGATCATCTTGATTCACTTGGCTGGGATGGTGTAACTCTTGCGCATATGCACGGCAATTCCTTCATCCCGGCACAGAATCCTGCAGGGAACATACACTGAGCTGCAGTGTACACTTCATTTGGCCATACACTATACAATTAGATATTACAATCTCCCTACATACATACCTAGGGGTCTATTCACAAAGCTGCCGTAGGCAGCCAAGTGAATAACCGACCCGAAGTGAGCCGAACGCTGTTCAGCTATTCACTTCAGACTCGTACGGCTGATTTCAGCCGTACACCGAGTAAAATCAGCCGTACAACGGCATGCTGCGGCTGGCTTCGGGTCGGCCAAACATGCTCAGCATGTTCGGCCGACCCAAAGTGCAGAAGGAGTTCGACTCAGCCGATCCAACATCTGGATCGCTGAGCCGAACCTCCGGCAGGCTACTTGCTGATGTTCGGCTATACTATTCGGTACCTCTGTGGGTACGAGCAGAATAAAAAAAAAAGTAGAAAAAATAAAATAGAAAGCGATTGGGCGGAGCTAGCTCTCACTGTTTTCTGTTGGCCGGGCGGTTCTGCTGCCATCAAAAAAAAACAAAACACCATAGGAATGCATAGCTAGATTCCTATTGGCTATTTCAATTTGCAATAGTCAATAGCAAAGTAGCTATTGCACCCACCCTCTGCTGCTGTCAATCACTAGAAGGGGACCTGATGGAGAACTTCAGGTCCCCTCTGCTGATTGACAGCAGCAGTGAGCGGGTGCAATAGCTAGTTTGCTATTGGCTATTGCAAATTGAAATAGCCAATAGGAATGTAGCCATGCATTCCTATGCAATTTTTTTTTTATTCTGACGGCAGCCAGCGGCTCCGATGTCAGAAGAAGAAAAAAAAAAGACAACAGAGCAGGGAAAGGTTTACTCTGCTTGATCGAGCAGAGTAAAACTTTCCGGGAGAAAGTGTTTCTCTCCTGGGCGGGCTGCCGGGAGCTGCTATCTAATAGCGGGAGACTCCCGGAGCGTCCGGGAGAGTTGGGCTGTCTGGAGATCAGCATCCCTGGTTACCTGGTAATCAGGGGTGCTGATCTGTCTGTGCAAGTGGCCGGAACCAGCTGTGAGATGACGCTGGCTCCGCCCAGCAGTCAGTAGCAGGCTGTCGGTCGCCCAAAGGTTGGCCGTTCGGCCAGCTTCGGCTTTCACTTCCGCTCAGCCGAGCCGAAGCATATGCCTTCGGCTCGACTGAGCCCCTCTGCCAACTTCTGGAGCTGTACGGGCTATAGTGAATAGCCCGTACAGCAGCCCAGGGTTTTTTTTAATGAGTTTACTTCTGCATAAAGGAAATGGCAATTGTTTATGATACTCAGTACTTTAGAAAAATAAGGGGTCTATTCACAAAGCTGCCGAGGGCAGCCGAGTGAATGACCGATCAGAAGTGAAGTGAGCCGAACACTGTTCGGCTATTCACTTCAGGCTGGTACGGCTGATTTCAGCCATATATCGGCTGAAAAGGTTTACATCAACTTAAAAAAATTATGTTTCAATGGATCTGAAGAACTCATCAGGTTTAGTGAACATAGGAGAGGTCAGCCTCAATGGGTGATTTCATTCCCTGTTCTGAACTCTTTTTATCAATCCACCTTTTTGAAATTCTGTGCCCCCTTCTATAGTTCCACACATTCTATAACAACAGCAAATGAGTAATGCTCAAAGAAGGAATCTAGTGTTAAAAGTCTTATTTCATCTGTACATACAGAGGTGGGAATTTATCATAGCAATTGCGAGTGTTTGAACTTGCACAGAATGTATTTGACGCTCTTTGCGCCGATTTATGATTCTAGTGTAATGTTGTTGATAAATGAGGTTTAATAGACTCCAGGAAAGAAGACTTGTAATTCCAGGCAAAAAGCTTAACTGTCGCTTCTTGAAGAAGGTCATGGGGACGTCTTAAGTTGTGATTGTTTTGTTAGGTGATGCTCCAGTTTCAGACAGCCGCAGAACAAGTGCAGATGAAAACAGGTGCAAAACACGTGCAGTTGGAAAAGTAGTGCAAGCTCAAGTCAAAACGGGCACATGTTAAAAGACAGATTTGCACATAAAAAAAAAAAGATTTAAGAGGCTAAAACTGTTGCAATTCCGTTGATAAATTCCCCCCCGAGACTCATTATTGTGTACCCTACTCAGCATTGCATAACATCAACGTCTCTGTGACTGCCAAGAAATAGTATAAATACAACATGCAAGGTGTTTGAATAATATGGATGCAAGTCAGCACAATAAAACAAACAGCCAGATCATAAAACGTTCACCAACAACAGGAATATTTAAAGTTTCTAGAGATGAATACAAACCTGCAAGTGAAGGAATATCTGATTTACTAAGAAGTGTTTCCTCGGCAGGCTACTGCATGAAATTCAGACTACTGCTTCCTGCTTTCTGCAGCTTGTATGACCTGTACAGTGGGTTTGTAGCTTCCTTCTTTAACTCTAAATAAACTGAGCTGCGCACAGAAACCAAATAGCATATGCTGCTTTTCCAGGCAGGAAGCTGTTAAGAGAATGACAAGCTGTAACGGAGTGTGTGTATTACTGGTAACACCAATTACAAGGAAGAGTAGTAGAGCTGGGGCCTCCTTCCATTGCCTTAAATGTGTACAATACTAAACACCAGTAACCTTCCACTCACAAACATGTTAATGATTGATCATATAAAATGTTACTAAGAGCACAGGACAGCAATGTAGCTTCACTTTGACCTAATTCAAAAGCCATTCGGACTTTATCATTCATGTTATTAGTGATTTATAGGCACTATTCGTTCTAATGGCACCCCATAAAGTACGCAATGCAAACATGGGCAAAACAGATTAATACATGTGCATACAATTGTATGGTAAAAGTAATAAAGTAATAAACTGGAGTAACATAATACAAGAGAATAATCCCTGTTTGCAAGAATTTACAATTAGCAACAAGTAGAGATCAGCAGCGTGATTTCCGTGAAATTGATTTATCAGGAAAATTATTAATTTGCTGACAATTAAATTTAACTTAAGCGAAAAATCTGAGTTTTGATTACAGAGCTTTTTTGGTTAACTTTTCTTATCTATTTAGTTTATTTAATACAGAGTGCTTTGTTTGTTTTTTTCTTTTTCCTTTTTGTGTGTATTTGATCATGATTTATGTTATGTCATCATTTATTTTTGTTTTAAGAGTTTTATTTAACTTCTTCACTGGGCAAGCAATGGCAGCTCACATGTTTATTTCATGATAGGGGTAAATTATTTAAAAAATAAGTTTAAAGAAAACAAAGTGACAGTTTTGCATCTATGTCTGCTAAATAGTCCTGTATTATGGACAAAATGTATGTCAAGAATGGCTTCAGAAAAAGACGTGCACATGTGGCAATGCGCATTACACTGAGTATTGCCAGCCAGTTGCAGGTGCACGCACATTTGTGTGAGCATGCCAATCCATGCTTGCAGATTCATGGGCATGCATCCCTAATTCCAGTCTTTGTGCCAGATAAGGGACAGAACTGACTTACCCTGTCAACAAAGCCAGCACCTGTTCCTGTGATCTACTTACCTGTTGCTGACTCAGCCAACCCCTGGACTCATCTCTGCTGTGACTTCTCAATGTGGCCCGGCTTGTTCTTGACCCCGGCTCTGTCTGGCTGTCTATTGCTGACTTCCCAGTTCGACCTCAGCTTGCCTCTTTTCCACAAATCTGCCTCTGATGACTTCCCGGTGTGATCTCAGCCTGTCACTTGACTACCACTCTGCCTTTCGCCCTGCCTGCTGTCTGTTTTTTTGGTTGCTGACCATCACCTATTTCTTCCTGCCTGCTCCTACCTGCCAGTGTCAAGTCTGCTCTCTCATGTTGATGTCTCCTGTGGCCAGGGGCTGACTGGCAACTTTTAGCCCAGGGGGCAAGTACAACCCAGAGGCCCATGGTGCGGCAACTTGACCCCCCTACCGCTTTGCATCTTCCCCCGCCTTCTCCCCGCCCATCTGCCACTTTTGCCATCCATGTAACAGTAGTGTGAATGTATTTATCGGTTTAGGAAATGTAAAGCGCACTGGTAGTGGAGGGATGCCTCGTCAGGGGTGTGCGCGTGCATGACTGCTGCGACCCTGGTAGTTCTGCCACTAACTCAAAAATATATTGTACAGCATTGCAGAATGGCATTGGCTTTAGAGAACTACAATTCCCAGCAATACATTACACAACAATGCAGAATACCATCAGCTATAGCGGACTATAAATCCCAGCAATAATGACTACCATCAGCTATAGAGGACTACAAATCCCAGCAATACCA